AACCACCGGAGGAAGCTCCAAATAATATTTAAAAAAACAGTAACTGAAGAACCTCAAATTCCGGGTTTTCACATCTATATCGAGCATACCACAAACTCTCTACTCACGACTCGCGAGCTGCCGGTCCTCACATAACAGCATGGCACGACCACAGCAATTGCTCAGCTCCGTAAAACTGAACAGACTAATTTCTACGAGGAACATCTCTACCTCGATAACGAATCTACTGACAAAATACTCGCTCCTAACACAAATTATGTAGACGAACAACTTCTCAGACGCGCACAACACAAGACCAGAATCATTTATAAAGCAACGCAAATAAAGTGTCCCATTGCTGGGCCCTGAGGAACTCCAAAGTTACGTGAATATTCCTCTGAAACAAAGGATTGACCACTCTAACTGTTGACTTTCTACCCTGCTGAAGTACAAATTCAAAAATGTTTATAATAAGCTTAATAGAAAGGCCAAGGTAGCCGCGCAGAAAAATACTTTCTGAACTTTGATTCTATCTCATCTCTAGTCTAATAACTCGCGAGACGCCGCGACTGCTCCTCTACTGTCTTCTACTTAACTGCGCCTTTCAATAGCGTGCACATAAGAATAGCATGATCGTAAGGGCATGACAAACACATAGTACCGGAATGCTAGCTACACAATACCGCTTTGCTAAAAAAGCTAAACAACATAGAACAACAGTAGGAAGGAAGAAGTAAAATCACACAATCAAGACGGCGACCGTAAGACTCAGAGAGGAAGGTGCGAATACACGACTTGAGCGACATTGAAAGCCACCGACTCTCTAAGAGAATATATACTCATAGCTCAGACAGCGAGTCTTCACAGTGTGATCTTGATCGCGACATACATCGAACACAACAAATCTGGATGAAGGGTTATATATAGGGAGAATTACATGTTGATATTTGAATTAAAGATTTGATAAAATGTGTAACAAGGTGTTTTTTAAAAGCTAGATTCAAATATTTTTTTGCTTGTGCCAAAGATTTAAAATACTAATTGTCTGTAATTTTTTTAAAATCATTATTATTACATAAGATATAAAAAATAGAAATGTTAATGGTATCTTTTAATTTTTTTTTAGAAAAAGGTTTAGTTTTTAAAGCTAATTAAATATATCTGTAATGGTTCAACTAAGTTGGTCAATACAACAAAACCCCCTTATAGATATTAAGCAGGGTAGATTATCTATTACCCTGTACATTTTCTTGGGTTTTAAATTTTTTTTTACACTATATGCTTAATCTGTTTACACTTGTTCGAGAAAATCAAAAAAACGTTTGGTTTTTCCGTATTTATAAGATTACTCTTTCTCCTTATTTCCTTGAAGTTTTAATAAAAAATAGCTATAAAAAAAAATGAAGAGTGGAGTAAAACCTAGTGCTCTCGGATGGTGGAAATCTGGAACGACGACATGACCTTTCGCGCCGTCAGCAGATCAAGATCCACGTGTATAAAACAGTACAGCCAAAGCCTAGTCACAGTACAAACAGAAAGACGGCAGATTTACACAACATGCACATACTGACAGAGACTGAATGGTGAACATCTACGGTTGGTAAGAGTAATAGACAATCAATATAAACAGCAAATTCATTGATCCAAATTAAAGAACTCAATTCGCGACGGTCCAGAATGGGACAAGCATAATTTCTCTTAAAAATGACTCAAAAGCAAGAAATCACGCATCACTTCAAACACCATCATACAATGTCATAAACATACAATTCACATCGAACACTTTCATCATAAGATTAGGTAGGCCGCTGATAATGTTCTGTTGTGTCCGAGTTACAAACTACCAAAGTTTTATCTAACGAGAAGGTGACATAGAGCCTACCAGTATGTAACCAACAGATGACCATGAAGCGTAACATCCCCGACTAAATCGTAACAGGAAAATAGACTTTCAGTAGGGAGGGAATGTGTAGTCGTTCTATCTAACCTAAGCATAATGCAAATAAAATTGAGAGTACCCGTCCTATTGCTTAAAGGTTTATGGATATTTTTGGGGGTCTTTTTGTAAATTAAAGACACAAACATAAAACACAGAACCAAACTATACTATATTGCGTTTGATTCTGAACACAGAGACAGCGACCTTTCTTACTTGTTCTTATGCGAATTTTAGGTACTTAATGATTTATTTACTAAATCCTAAAATACAATTAAAAGACTTAAACAGCCTACCAACATAATGAAACTAATTAAATAAAACTTCTCTGTCAATCAAATATAATCCATCCCTAAAGAGACTTCTTCTGTTTCTTAGAGTGCTGTCTCCCTCTCCCTAAAAAAGAACGGGACGGAGGAAGTCCCAAAACCTGCATATGTGCAAAGTCAAATTTATATTTTATATATATAAACTTTTTTAACCATTGCTGGTACAACAACCCATCACAAACGATCAGTCTGCATTGATACCATTCGGACGTATAAAATAAATATTTATTTTTCAACGTCATGACAGATCAACCACTCACGTAGGTTCTTCAACCATAGAGTTCATCCCTGTCATCGTTATTTCTGTCATACTTCGGCCAAAACCGAAACCCCTAGATCTTCCTAACTCTTCTCTCTTCTCTTTCCCCTTCTTCCACTCTTCTTGATCCTGTTTGTTTCTTTTCTTCTTTTTTTCTTCTGATCTTCTTTCTCATCTGCTCCTTTCTTCAACTAAATCAAATCTTTTTTTTCCCTCCCCCCCCCCTCATTAATGAGTCTCGCAAAATTCATATATTGGTGATCCTTCCACCCACTCTCCCTCCTCTCGTCCCCCTCTCCCTTCTTCCCCTTCTCCCGCGTCCCAGCGTCCCCCACCCTCCGCCCATCACGTCGCTTAGTATTTCGATTTTCCCCTTTTCTCCCTCTCTGGTTTGGAATGGATGTGATTTAGTTCTGTTGCTTACCCATCTTCCGTCCAATACTCTTTATTTGTAAATCACCCTCAGTTATCAAGTATTCCATATTATTTTTTTCCATACATTTTTGGAGTGGCCTTTTGCAAGGATCCATTTTTTCCTACAAAATGTCAAAATACAAGAGAGCAGACCTTCAGCGTGTTCGGAAATAGCAGCGATTTAGAAAATATAAACATAGGATCGGTAAATTTATTAAATGTGTGGCTTGCCCCCTTATATTTTGCAACAAAATTTGTTTAATTTACTGTTTGTATTTTAAGAACGATTTCCGAAGTGGAAATTGAAACGTCAATAAACGTATTTTTATCTTTAATTGTAGCTTATTCCCTGTTAAATAGTAATTAAAATATTATTTGGTGACATGTCCCTTCTGGTCCCAAGGTCTTCATTTATAACTTGATATTTTCAATGTAGAGTAATAAGATATGTAATACAGGTTGATGATGATGATGAAGTCACATCAATAAAAAAACTTGTAGACTAACCTATGTCCTTCTAATTTAATAGCTATATATTTAATTTGAAAATAGATTTTTTTTAATATAATTTATAGAGTATAAGAAATTGTTAGGTTGTTCCCTATAATACATGTTATTAAATCTTTAGTTAGATTTCACTGAAAAAGAACATATGATATAAAACATCTACGCAAATCTCAGTTTAATCAACGTGCTTATACACTTTAAGAAGCCTCAAAATTGTGAATACATGCAAATTATTTAGTTTGTTGTGTGGGATTAAAATATTTATTTTGTTTTGTTTTTTTTGAATGTATTGGCTTTTTTTTTTTGTTTTTTTTGTTTGGTTTTATTTTATTTTTTTTTATATTTTTTTTATTTTTTTTTATTTTTTTTTTTGTTTTTTATGTTATTTTATTTTTTTTTTTATTTAATGGGGGTCTTAATTTGTTGTTGTTTTTTTAATATTTTTTGTGGGCCAAGCAAGCCATTAAGGGCACACCCTTCCATGACAATACAACATCAGTCACTATAGCCCCCCTCCTACCTATGGTCCCAAAAACAAGGAGAGTTCCCCCTCAGCTTCCCACCCTAGTCCCAGCTTTTCTCCAAGTCCCCACCCCCCCCACCCACAGCTACTCCATAATAATAAATCTTGAAAATTCATTAAAACAGCATAATAAACAAAAAAAAAGTAAACGTATAATTACGCACAGGCCAATAAACGCAGGATAATGGTAAAAGGAACAGTAAAACGCCGGTTCGGCAAGTCTGATCTAATAAATCTAATAGACTAATACTAAGGGTAATCGGAGAACGAGGGGAGATAAGAGCGCTGCAATACTGATCCCTTCCCTCAGTGCGACAGAGAAACCTGAAGTAAAGCAGTCCCTGCATTTCTTTCTAATCTTCCGAGTTTATCAACTGCGTGCTCTAAATGATCATTGGGAAGATCATGTGGTCGATAAACCAGACCCATTAGAAAAAGATGCAGGGACTGCTTTGCGTCATTTTTCTCTGTCGCACTGGGGGACGAGCCTGTATTGCAGTTCAGATGAGTTCAGTCTGTTTGTATTATATATCTATGGTCTTGTATGATGTAGAGACGTAACTGCTAAATAAGCAATGCATAAGTAAGCTGCAGTAAATTAAGATGTGCGTATATTACAATATGTTGAAAATCTCCTAGAAGGACAAAATAACTAACCAAGTAGTACCGAACAGGATGAATAAACAAAAAGAGGTTTTATTGACTATTAAAATGACAAATTTTAATTCCTGGGACAGGTTACATGTGGAGATAAATCAACTGTTAAAAATGATAATGTAAGGAAAGATTGGAGATAAACATATAAACGCAGCCTAGGAGGGAGAACATTTTTTTATTGAGAAACCGCAGAGAATGGTTTTCTTGCAGTTTTACTTAATTGTTTCGAGCACCAGTCTCTATGGTCAGAATTACCCCGATGATAGTCAACCTTCATAGCGGCAATGGCACATGAAGAAGAATATATCTGTATAGAAGCTAGTTGAAGCACAATAAACGCTACTCCGATGCATCATACGATAGTCAAATATTTTAGTATTTTATCAATTTACTTACAGATTAATAATATTAACTAAGATTCCGTCATCTGGTCTCCTGAAAGCTACTGTAAGTACTAAGGGATCAAAATACGATACTTCTATTCTCACCGAGTCTTGGGGAATAAATTTAGAGAAGTGACCCATCGCATAGAACATCGGTTGTTTATAAAATTCATCTGCTGTTGCATTGACCAGTATAGGCGAATCAACAAAGTTGTTTACAATGTTGGGTCCTCCTTTAAGGTTTAAAGCTATGTTCCAATCAAGCCAGCCAACAAACCAGTGTCTTAGATCCTACAAATAATTACATAATGTTTTAGTTGCACAAGACTTTTTAAACTGATAGAATACTGTAATACCATATTGCTAATGTTAATAATGCTAATGCCAGTAATACATTTTAATCATTTCTCTATTTCGTATTGGTTTTCGTTATTTCTTTTAATTTTCTTATTTTGTTTTATTATTATAAAAAACAATGTTACAAACACTTAAGAATCTCATGGGTAAATCGTGTGACTAATGTTAAGGTTTTAAGTAGAATGGGTAAGGAATGTGAGACTCCAACAAGACATATTACTTGTTGTAACTCATTCTTCAGGACAAGTTGTTTGAAAAAAGAGGACTACTGACAAAAAGAATTTTTAGCTTCAAAACTTAAGACAGTGGTTCAATAATTCGACAAGCATACTATTCCAAATAGCTGCCATCGTAGTTAGAGATAGCCATGTTAGTCGCCAAAATTCGGCACGGATAGGCAACGTAAGAAAAAGAATATTGCTCATTATTATTAATTTTATTAAAAAAAAAATAATAAAATAAACATATATTTTGATCCTATAACATATACAGTCAAATTAATAATGAATTTAGCAATCAAAACATTTACGGAAGAACATTGAGAAACCGGATGTTTTTTGATTTGAAATCAGTCAATTTGGCTATAACATCACAGGCTTGAATCATGTCTACATCGTAATAAACATTCTTGTAGCGCTGTTTAAACCTGTACTGCCATAAGGTCAAAAAAGTATACATTCTCGAACCTTTACGTCAATGATCAATTGCTAAGCTGGTTAGAATATTTAACAAATTTCAACATTTTTCGTCATCGTCATCTCAAGACAAAAGTCGAATGTGCCATCCTAAAAGAAAGTCTTTATTTCCTTTTTTGAGCCCATCTGATCTAAAAGATCTTAGCTATTACTAAAGTTGAAGCTTGTGTTTGCTGGCCATTGTTGTTTCCTACACGCAATCTAGAATTTTTGTACTCTGTAGAAGTCTGTACAGGTCTTTTGCTTGGTAGTATCCCAAATAAGTCAGAAACACCACTAAATCTAGCGCCTCACAGTCGCATCATACATGTTGTATAGTTTTGGTTTCTTATCGCAGAGTATGCAGTTAAGGTCTTCATTGTAAATGCCTTCTTTATTTAGGAATTCTCTTACTGGTGTATACCCGGTTAATATTTCTGTTACTGTTCTCAGTTTGTTCCGACTTATATGGAGCAATTCGTCCAATATTTTTGTACATGGTTTACCAATGAAAATTTTCCATGTGATTGTTTTGAAATTCTCTTCCAATATGGCTCATGACTTTCTCGGATCCACTACAGTCCTATGTACTGCATTCTTTGGTACTCCTAAAGTCACAGATGGTTCATTTCATTCGTTAGATCTTTTTTTAGCAAGTTAATCTGATTTTAAGTTGCCTTCGATTCACTGAACAATCTCAACCCAGTTACAATCTCCCAGATTATTCAGTCATCAATTTTGCTGTCAGACAATATATAGATCTGTTCTTTTTTAAGTGCTCTCCCATTACTTACCTTTGCCCATTTTTCCTAAGTCAAAGCTTCCGCTAATTCTTGGATTTTTGGAGAACATCATTGCACCCACATCCTCTGTAGTCTTGGATCCATTTATGTACCAGATCTTACCCTGTTGGTTGTGGTACTTCTGGTTTCTCCATATATTTCTGGGTGGAATTGATAATCTGTATGAATTCTTAAAATTGTATCTTTTTGTCATGTGATCCAGTTTCACATTAAAGATGTCCGTCACATTCTTTGTGATACTCATATGCCCTGTTCTATCGAGGTGAAATTTCAGTGATTTTTTTATTATGTAGTTTTAATATCCTATGTCCTAATTTTGCCTCACCTTGTATTATCAAAGGCAAGAGAGGCAGGCCTAGTAGAGTCTCCATACCTGCTGTTGGAGTAGTACGCATGGCATCAGTTATCCCCATACTTGCAAGTCTTTGCATATATGCTACAGGGTGAAAAGTGTTGCTTAAGCTATGAAGTAAAGAGAACGAGAAGACGGACAAACGCAGTCGCAGACCCAGGTAGGTTTCAATATTCGTCATAAGGATCCTAAGACGACCTTAAGCACAATAAAGAAACTTGGCCAGAATTGCATACTGCTATTAGATGGTTAGATATCATCTTGATGCAATAAATCCTCTGGATACGGTAAAAAATTAAAAGTCCATCGAGTTTTGGCGGAGAGCTTATACATGCCTTGTGCGTAGCAGATCTGTCAAAGTTCTAGGAACTTAATAAATAGTTTAAGTTTAATTGAAGATGTTTAATAAACTAATTAGTGTCAGTACAACCAATGTAGAAAAGGACAATTTTGAGATTAAAAAATTCAAAATATATTGTTCTTTATCATATCCTTTTAAAATAAAAGGAATATTGAGACAAGTTGTAGTTCTATCTTTTATTGTAAAATTAAGACGGTCAGAAATAAGATCTTATATTCTTAACCAGTTGCTATAGTTATTAATATTTGTAGATTATATGGATTAAATGCAGGACAATTATTCTATGTGGCAGAAGATCGAGAAGTCTTTGCAATGGTAATCGCTAAGAAAAAGAATATTATATGGATATCGTTAGTAGAGCTCGGAATTTGATGAAAAAAAGCTATGAGAGTAAAAAGGGCTGCTAATATCGACAGGATCAATTTAATAAAGTTCTTCTTCTTGTTCTTTCTTCTTGTATGTAGGCGTTAAAGCCTTCTTCTTCTTCAATATTAACCTCCTAAATTGTTTAAATTGTCGCACCATCTTTTTCTTGGTCTGCCAATACTTCTTTGTCCATTTGGTGACTTATCTCATGCTATTCGTACTATCCTATCCTCTGACATTCTACTGATGTGTTCGTTCCACTCCTGTTTCCGTTTTGTCACCCATCCATTTATGTCTTCTATATTGCATGCTCTTCTTATGTTTTCGCTTCTCTCCCTATCCAACGGACTTTTTCCTGATATTCGTCGGAGTATTTTCATCTCTGTTGTTTCTAATAGTCGTCTCGTTTTACATGTGTCAGGTCTTGTCTCCGCCGTGTATGTTAATATAGGTCTAATTGCTGCTTTATAGATTCTTGTTTTTGTGTCTTGTCTTAGGTGTCCGTTCTTCCAGATTGTGTCAATAAGAGATCCCGCCGCTTTACTTGCTTTTAAGCTTTGCTGTCGTACTTCTTCTTCAACATCTTCGTAACTAGTTATATCTATTCCCAGATATCTAAACCTTGCTTCCTGCTTTATTATTTTCCCATCAATTTTGATTCTACACAGTAGTGGGTATTTAGATGTCATACATTTGGTTTTTTCTGCTGATATTATCATATTGTATTTCTTGGCTGTCGTATTGAAGATATGTGTTAAGATTTAATAAAGTAATATAATATACCTTCTTTCCACTAAGATTAATACCTCGGTAGGTATATTTGGAAATTACAAAAATATAGTAACATTTATTTAAGTGCTAAAGTAAATTTATCGGAGATTTGACAATGAGGTAGAAATTGTTAAGAAACTTGAAACCGGTAGTCTAACGTACAGTCAAACTAATTGTGAGAAACGCTTTTATTTCCTTGTATTACCTATTTAGAAAATGGACCCACATGTGTAAACAATTCATCATTTGTACTAACCTCAACGATGCCCTTAGCATAATCTTCTCCTCTTTCCCAAGAGCCTAACACGACTTTCGGTTCCCATGGTAGTTCACCTAAAAACAACATAATTGCCATGAAATATTAAGGTTATTGTGTATTATGTGCAAGATTTTTAAATGAATAAGAAATATAAAATCTAGAGATATAATTATCGACTTAATTATAAATCCTAAGTTTAAATTGTACCCATGTCGATTTGTTTTTTATTTCTCTTTACCTTGACAAATTTGAATTTATCGAAGATCATACATATATACTAACTTCAGTATATAAATCTTTTCAGTCCAATTCTACCTCAATTTAATACCTAAAAATGAACTTAAAAACACAATTAAACAATTAAAAGATAATAAATCCACGACCAGACGAAATTTAGCCATAAATTTTAAAACTCATAGGTGAAAATATTATCGCCTTCTTTGTTCCTGTATTTAATCAAATATAAGAAGTATTACGCTGATGAATGGATAAAATTTATCTTGTTGTCTATATGCAAATAACCACACTCAAGAGATGTACAGTGCGGTCACGGAATAGTTTACAGGTTCACGTATCTAGGAGCCCATTTTTTAAATTTTTACTTCGTTTAAACGCACCTTTTACGTCAAAGTGACGTTGCCAGTGGTGTACTAGCTAGAATAGGTAGATTAAAATTAAAATATCAAAATATTTTACAAAATGAAAAATATAGAAAACAGTTTTTTGAATAAAATGGATTATGATCTTAATAACGAAAATAAAGAAGTCTTTTTTTTTAATATGCATTTTATTTTAAATCTATTTTATATTAAATAACGATAAACAATGATAAATAATAATTAATATTTGGTGGAAGCCCCATTCTTGTCAATACAATTTTGCAGTCTTCTGTTCATAGATAGCACCAATCCCCTCATGTTATAGTTAACAAGCTCTTCCCATGCCTGCTCAATTGCTTCCCATAATTCAATTCTATTCCGTGGTCTAAGGTTTCTTTCATTTAGTTTCTTTGTTAACTCTGCCCACACATTTTCGACGGGGTTAAAGTCTGCACTACGGGAAGGCCACGGAAGAACATTAACATCAGTTTCTTCTAGCCATTCTCGAACAATTCTACTCGTATGCACCGGGCAATTGTCATGTTGGAAGATAAAGTCGTTGTTGGGGAATCTCTGGATCACCGATGGCAACATTGTGTGCTCAATAATATGTTTGTAATATAATCCTGTTAACTTCTCCTCTACATGATAACAAACGCCCGGGCCTTCGGCACTTATCCATCCCCATACGTTGACAGAGAATCCTCCACTATTTCTTAAATGATGCGTATACTGTTCATCATACCTATGATTTCTCGGCCTATAAACTCTTATTCGACCATTATTATACGACTGAAATACTTTTTCATCGGAAAATACAACCCTAGACCAAAAATTCTCATCGCGGTTTATAAATTCATTACAAAATTCAACTCGTCTCCTCTTGTGATCCTCAGTCAAAAAAGGTTTCCGTGCAGCTACACAATTTAGCAGTCCACTTGCTTTAATTCTTCGACGTGCAGTGCGAATACTGCCTGGAAACGCTGCCTCTTCTCTTGCCTTTTGAGCTGTGGCAAAAGGAGATTCTCTCAAATAATCTACTAACATCTCATCCTGTTGATCTGTGGAAATCTTCTGCCCTCCTGAACCGCCCAACCGTGCTATAGAGTGAAAATTATCCCATCTTTGTTTAATCTTCCATATGCACATATGACTCACGTTCAAATCAGCAGCAACTTGCCTTAGTGACCAACCTTCTTCGAGTTTGGCAATTGCTCTTGCTTTTTGCGCATAATTCAAATGTATTCTAACCATTTTGGAAGAGTTTAATATACTTTTATTTTATTGTTGAACACTCGCGAAAGCATTGACGTTTTGAAATTTTTTGACTTTGACATTTATCAAATCCGTACGACACTGCAATTTTACAGTATTACAATATAAAAAGTAAGGTGTAAACTATTCCGTGACCGCAACTGTACATGTTGAGACATTCATCAACTTGACGTGACATGCAACAAATCAATACTTCAGCCATATCACCAGCAAACAATTTTTTGTCTGTTTCGCAAATTTTGGAAAGGATTTCGACAGGGTCAAATATCCAAATTTATATACCACATCTCTGTTAGATGCTTATGCCAATATGTAAAAAGTGGGGCGGTTCTTCTTCCTTTATATAAAAAATTCACAATCATGGTGTTTTTTAAAAGTACGGTCAAACCACTTTTGCCCCTCCATCAGACCACTTCGGAAATACACGTCTCTCATCGGTATTTAATAAATAATTCTTTCTGCTCTCTAAAAAATTCTGGAAATTATTTACATAAAAAAGAAAAGTAACTGAAACAATATTTCTTCCTTAGAAGTGTTCTTGATTTTATGGTTACGGCATTTGTTGTCTATTTTAGCAGCAGACTTTACTCCATCTTTACAAGGAACATGCTACATTGCTTTCTTTCTGTTTATGAGCATTTGTTTAGTGAGTCAGTTGTTTTTGATCCATTGTGTTCCGTATTTTTTTTATTTTCTTATTGATCCAGTAAATGTTCCAATGATCTGATGTAAAAATTGTTAATAACAAATTATCTAACAGGTTTTCTGTCTCATATAAAACTACATAAAAAAAGTACCGAGGGGATATGAAAGTATGTGCTTAATCCGCTCCTTGGCTCCTAGAGTACTACTAGATGTTGATAATGAGTGTTCATGTCTTTTCTTATTAGTGTTCTTTACGTTTCATTATTTTTGTATTTGATGTTAAATTGTTTAAACATCGCTTTCATTTTTTCATCTTTATAATTTAATTTTGGGTTTTACAATACTGTTGCACGCTTTGTCGTAAGTTGATTTCGGTTTTAACTATTTTTTAGAATCTCCTTTTTCCCTTAGTTTCCTTTATTGTTCTCTGAATTTATTTTTGTTTATTGCTAGCATTTTGTACAGATCTTCTGTATTTTTTATTTTGAACATATTTTTTCTCTCCAGTTCCTTATTGATCTCTATTTTCGCTCGAATTAGTCGCTTTGATTATCTCGTCATAGAAAAGTCCAACGTCTTCTTCAGGATGTGAAGAGGTCGGAACGTAGCGCTAAATTATTAGTATTTTATGCTTTTTGCAGATTTATGTGACCTTGTCTGTTATTCCCTTGTACACTTTTATGTGATTGTGCTCTGTTTTATTTATTAAAAATTCTACGCCTCTTTAGTTTTCTACATCGTGACCTTTGTAGGTCATCTAATTGATAGTTGTGTAGCACAGATTTTTTTAAATTTATTTAGTTTTGTACATTCTTCAGAATCAGACAGATCTTATATCTCTCTCTCTTCAATCCTGACCCCTCCAGGGGGAGTGTAGTGGTCGACGTGATGTCGTGTATTGTCCGTCTCCAGAGATCTCTGTCTCTGGTCATTTCTTTTAATTCATGCATAGGTCTTTGGCATATTCCTGTAATTTGATCTATCCATCTTGTTGGGGATCTTCCTCGTGATCTTCGGCCTTCTACCTTTCCTTGTATTATGAGTCTTTCCATGTTTTCTGTGTTTGCTCTCATAACATGCCCAAAATATTTTAATTGTTGGAGATGGACTTTACTAGAGAGTCGTTGGCTAACTTTTAGCTCTCTTAAAATTGAATTATTTGTTCTACGGTCGGTCCAAGGAATTCGTAACATTCGTCTCCAACAGAACATTTCAGTGGCGTCTATCTTTCTTCTCTCCGATTGTCTCAGAGTCCAAGATTCACATCCGTAGGTCAGTATTGGGAATATTAAGCAGTTGATCAACCTCATCTTTATCGCTCTTGAAATTTGACAGTCCTTCCATATTTTGGTCATTTTTGCTGTGGCAACTTTTGCTAGATCACATCTACGTTTAATCTCTTCTTGTAATGACCCTGTGTTTGTGATTAATGATCCCAGATATAAGTATGAGCTCACAACCTCGAACCGGTCAATTGTGGTTATGTGTGGATGATTGTTGTGTAGTCTATCCACTATCATGATCTTTGTCTTTGATATGTTTAATTGCAGACCAAATATTTGACTTTCGTTTTCGATCAGTCGTATAAGTTCTATCAGCTCTGCTTGACTATTTGCAAGAAGGGCTGTGTCATCTGCGAAACGTAGGTTGTTTAGTTTATGACCATTTATTGAGATGCCCTTTTCCCATCCTTCAAGTGCTCTTCGCATAATATACTCCCCATATATGTTGAATAATTGTGGAGATAGTATACATCCTTGTCTGACACCCCGTTCTGGATGAAACTCGTTCGAAAGTGTGTCAAGTACTTTAACTGATCCAGTAGTGTGTTCATATAGTTCGGTTATAAGCGTAATTAGATGTTGTGGTACGCCTACTTCTTTTAGTATTCGCCATAAGTGTCTCCACTTGACCCTGTCGAACGCTTTACGGTAATCTATAAAACAGATGTATAGTGGGATGTTAAATTCCCTAGATTTCTCGATTATCTGTCTTATATTCAGCAGGTGTTCTCGAGTGCCTCTACCTTTGGTAAATCCAGTTTGCTCTTGTGGAATTTCTCTTTGAAGGAATGTTTTCAGTCTCTCATTGATTATATTTAGCATTATCTTGCTGGCATGGGATATAAGAGAGATAGTTCTATAATTGTCGCATTTATGGAAGCTGCCTTTTTTATGTATAGCCATTCTTTATAGCCATCCCCTCTATATCAACACTTTTTTTAGTTTTGATCTGCCTCGAGTGTTTTATTTTCCCAGTACCACCAATATCTAGAAGGTAAGGGGTACCGGATTGCCAGCTATGGTTGCGTCCGATGGGAGACTAGCTGCCTTCCACGGGTCATAGCTCACGTAAAAGCAAATATTTCATACCACAACTAACAGTGACAGGCAAGTTGGAGGATATATATGGAATAGAGATAAATAGGTTATCCTGATTGCAAAACGTGAGGCACTGAATAAAATTGAACTTGGAAGTGCTAATCAGCATAGCTCAGAACAGATACGAATTTGCCATTTTATCGCTAACCTCTATTAAAGAAGACCAACATAAAAAAGAATAATAGAGACACATAGAGCAACTTAATTGACACAAGCATTTATATCTACTATTTTTAAGAAAACGCAAGATATAAAAATAAGTAGAAAAGGGTATAAAGAAAACGATGAGATCATAAATAGATAAAAAATTTATGAGCGTGAACATAAAAATAAATATCAGATGCCTACAAAAATGAAATAAAAGAGGTCTTACCTCGACAAGCCTCTGTGCCTATTAAAAATTTGTCAGGATGATGGTCATGTGTTATATCCAAGACTGCTGATGGAATAAATTTATCAAAATACCAATGAACTCCTATACCATCGACATACTGCCTGGTTGCGGGATTTGCAAGCATCTAAAAATTACGATGTTTTCATTCTATTTTACAAACTGGAGTTTATTTAATATTCAGAATAGGCCTTCATACTTACGTCATCTATGAACATAGGTAAAAATATCCTTTGGTCATCTAAGGTTACAATTTTAATATTTGAATAATTAGAATCTCGTATTGTAGGTCCCAAATTATTTGCTACCCATTTTGACTAAAACAAAATTAATATTACACTTTAGGCTTATAATTTAAATATAAATTTAAAAATACATGTAATAAACCTTTCTAAATGGTGTTTTTTTTAGTATGGAACTTTGAAATGGAATAAAGTAAAGATATTTTTTTTAAATTGACATGAAATTGACTTTATTCGAAAGATAATCTCTTGGTATTTTAATTTAAATATGATTTCTGACATATGACTGCAACGGCTGACTCTGAAGTAGTCAATCTGGAGGTCCAATTTTCAAGACTTTTTCCAACATTTATGGCTGTATATCGGAAATAACGCGGCGAATGTTGTCCTTCAAGTCCTCAATCGTTTCAGGCTTATCGGCGTAGACTAACGACTTTACATATCCCAACAGAAAATAGTCTAGCGGTGTTAAATCGCACGATCTTGGAGGCCACTTCATGGGTCCGAAACGTGAAACTATGCAGTAACCAAAAGTTTCCTTTAATAAACCAATTGTGGCACAAGCTGTGTGAAATATTGCGCCATCTTGTTTAAACCACAGCTCCTGCATATCATGGTTGTTTAATTAAAAAATGAAAAAAGTCAGTAATCATGGCTCTATAGCGATCATCAATGACTATACCGTTCTGGCCAGTACTGTTTTTGAAGAAGTACGAACCATTGATTCCTCCAGCCCGCAAAGCACACCAAACAGTCAGTTTTTCTAGTTGTAATGGTTTCTCAACATACACTTGAAGATTATCTTTACTCCAAATATGGCAGTTTTTGTTCTGCTTATAACATAATTCGCGCATGAAAATCGGATCAACGGCAATCTGGTTTTGGGCCATTCACCGCATGTACGCATTGCTAGATGATCGTGTATCTTTAATTCCTGCACGAGTTGAATTTTGTAAGCATGCAAACCAGAATCTTTCCACAAAATCTTCCATAAAGTGGATGGATACATATTCAACTGCTTTGAATGATGACGGAGAGACTGATTCGGCTTCTCTATGCTACGCTCTACAGCAGCAACAACTTCTTTTATATGTCGTCCTGTGGATGCGTTTTATAATTTAGAGTAAACTTGGTGCGAAAATGTTTTATGGTTAATCGAATTAATTAACAGTATTGCCATTTTGGTGCAAAAACATTCTAAGTCTGGTGTTCTATGCATGTTAAATAGGAAGCTGAAATATATCATTGTAAACTAAAAGGTTCTATGTCAGTGACTTAAAATGTTTTGTAGGCAACACTATCAATATCTATGTATTGTACAGTAAATTATTGTGTTCTGTGAATCCCTGATTAAATAACCACACTTTTGATTGTTTTTGTGAGGTTAAAGTTGTTTTAGCACCATTTTATTGCATTTGTAAAAATTGCGATGGATGAAGAACAAATCATTACTAGCGACGGAAGAAAAGTAAAACATGAAACTAAGTGGAAAATATTTATCGTGAGAAATGCTAGAGTCAAAGGTGAAGAGTACATTGATTACAAAGGTAGAGTTGTACCAGCTATCACTGTTGGCGCTGATTGCAGGTAAGATACGTTTTGCAGTCTGTATAGCTCGATAATAAAATATTACGACATTGGTATTAAAATAACGTTCAATTAATATAGCCTATGTTGGACAATTGTACCAATTATATTTCAGATGTAAGCATAAGTGTACAGACCGCTTGCACAATCAAGCTGAAGAGATATTCGTTCATTTGAGAACACTAGAAACTAAGAATGAGCAGGATATTTTTTTACAATCATTGATTATCTGCAACAATGTAAAAACCCATAGACCCAGAAAAAAGGTGCAGAAGCGAGGGCTGCTCATAATGTTTATTTTACATACGAGGTACTTGTGGGTGAAACCAGAGAAAAGGTATGTTTAGAAGCATTTAAGTCGCTATATGGCATTGAAATAAGTCGTATTAGAAGGCTTCGTTCATTATTATTAATGGGTAAAACTCCCAAGGATCTTCGTGGAAAAAATGGGCACTAATGCAATCAGTGGTCATACCAGGTTACTAATAAGACAACATATTGAAAGTTATCCATTAAAAGAAAGTAAATATGCAGGAAAGACTATAAAATATTTGGACGCAAGACTGAATGTTACAATTTTATACAATATGTTTAAAGAGAAATACCCTGAATCAAAATGCAGCTATGAGTTTTTCTTAGGATTTTCAAGGACAACTTAATTTACGGTTTGGTCGCCCCAGATTGATTCATGCTGCACTTGTGAAGAACTAAATTTAAAATTGAGAAGTCCTCATCTTAGTGATGCAGCAAAAAAAACGTTGCTGCTGAATTGATGATTCACAAGCGTAGATCAAAAAAATTCTACAATAAATTAAAAAAATAAAAACCAAGAAACAACAGCGAAAGAACCCATGTGCTAGCAATAGCTTTTGACTATATGCAAAATATTTCACTACCCAAGATTCCAGTACAGGAAATCTTCTATTTAAGGCAACAAACAGTGAATATGTTTTGTATTCATGATGTAAAAAGCAGAAAATCTCATACTTATCTACACCTCCAACTGACCGCGAGAAAAAGTCCATGATGAGATTTGTTCCTTGTCTATAATTATTTAAACTCTAAATCCACAAGGAAAACAATTCTTGTAGCTGGCTGTATACCACGTATCACAAAAAATAGGTTAATCTTCGTAAATGGGTCTATTTATTTAAAAACCCATAAAGGGCTACATAAAAAAACAAACGTTTTCGGACTAAAAGTCATCATCAGTTTAAAATTGCTAGGTTAAAATGCCTGAGCCACCAAAATACCAGGGTAAAAACCCTTTAAATTACATGTAGTTGTAAAAGATTGTACATATTGTTGTTATAAAACTGTGATGTTAAATATTAAATTAAATTTGATTTCAGGTAACATACACCCATGCTTGACGTGAGTTCCAGTGTCTGGAGAGTGAACCTCTTCAGAAAAGATGGTCAGACAACGTCAATTGAGTCTAAAAACCGAAGTAAAACAGACATTAAGCCTATTTATAAAGTAGGAAGAAGAAGATATTAAATCTATTCAAACATTTAAATGTTAGTAATAGCTTACATTAAATAGCGTTTGTTGACTTTACAACAGCACATTTTACGGCCAATAAAAAAACTATATAAATATGGAAAAGCAAACTAATATCTCATTGTTTTTTTGCCACTGTACAGTTGAATACGTCTGTACTATGAGTATTTCTATGTACTATCAGTACTGTGCATAATAAAAATGTAAAGATATTTATATATTTAGATTTGATTTTAATTTTAAACTATAATTTTATTACTATATTTTTGAATTTAACGACGGTTTACAAAAAACAAGCTCACAGTCCGGATGCGGACCGCGGTCCGCCATTTGGTGACCCTGATCGATTCTCTACTATGCCTGAAGGTCGGTGTGCAACTTCCGCCGAACTCGCCGTTTCGAAAGTTCTTATCCGTCTTCATCGTCGTTGTAGTCTTCATCTGTACATGAATCTAGAGATTCAAAAAGTATTATACATATACCACGTTGATAAAAAAATGATTTCTATGCCAAAAAATACCAAAAATTATACGAAATGTTAGACGACGTAAGACTGGATGGAATCGGTATAGCCATAGTTAGAGACGTTTCCGGAAACCACAAAAAGTGTGTTAAAACAAAGAAACTTGACATGAAATATATAAATATAAAACTAGGAGTTTGTTAAAGATGAGTTTTGTCTACCTTCATAATTTACTATATAGGTTATTCCACGAATATACGACTGTTTGGATTATTGCGACAACGAATATTTTACTGTGCAAGTAGAAGTTTGAAAGTAAATTGGTCTAAACAGTATTCCAATAAAATGGATCTACTGTTAGTTTGACACTTAAACTAAAATTATTTCAGTTAATAGATGTTCAGATAGACGCAAAATTTATTGTGAAATTTAATCCGAAAATAACAAAAATTTTTACGCAAACGGTCCTACAAATAAATACAATGACGTCTATAAAGCCAAAATGTGTTCATAAGACATTTGGGTTGGGTTTCCGTGAAATGTAAACACCAAAGAGGCGTGCCGGGTTTCTTTGATATTACACTATTTTATTACTTTATTAGGTACTGCAACTGTAATAAAAGAAATATACTATTTTTAATATAAATGAAAAGAAATTGGCAGAACGATGGTTCAGAAACCAGAAAAAGGATCTAATATTTCACTTTGTTAGTTTTAAATATTTGTTTGCTTTGCGTGGATGTACTCTTAAAAGTTCGAAAGTAACGGGTATAACATACCAACTATTGATAGTTAAAGTACCGAGTCGTTACAGATTAAAAAGTAACGAAAATTTACATACAGTTTCATATATCGCCGACTGATTTTAATTTTAAAAACCATCCGTATAGAGGTGTCCGGTGAAGAGAGGTGCCGTTAAGAGAGAGTTTAGTGTAGTGTATTTGTTTATTGAAGCCAAAAATGCCGAGACGTTTTTAGATATAGACAACTTTATATTTAATGTACTTTCTCATTGTAAAGTTCTGTGAATCTGATGGTTGATGATAGTTTTAGGAGGTTAGGAGAATTAGAGAATAAGTAAGTTTTTTTTGTTTTTTTAATACTAATTGAATATTCGACTAAATAAATTACACTATTTAATCACCTAAGTATTGTTACACTTCGTTTAAATCACTTAATTCAAAAACCAACTTGTTTACAATACTAAACTCAATGATAGTAATTATATACTTCAAAATCTGAATTACAACTGTTCTATAAACTATCAACTCTATATTTATATCATGACTTCATATTTAATAAGGTTTATATCTGTCATAACAGTATTTTAAAAATGGGGAGAATTTACTATTGTACAATTCAGTAGATTGGACCATTCAAATCGATACCTTAAACAAAATTTAAAACAGTCGTATATTCGTCGAAATGGAGATACGACGAGCATGTACAACTTTAAAAAACTTTGTAATATAAGAAAGTTATGGTCGAAGTAAAAAGAAGTCTAAGGAAAATCATGCTGCGTTTCATAAGGCCAGCACAACAGGAAATAACAATTAGTCAAACCCAAAATAGAAAAAAAAACACATTTGTAAAAATCAAAATCTAAATTAAAATCTGTATGTAATGTAAAAATATAAATAGATTACCAAACCCCCGGATGTGAAGCCAATCGAAGGTAGCGGAATCGGGCTAAGTCCTACAGAAGGTTCATTCCCTGTAGTTATTCCCCAAAATTCCAGTTTATTTTCTTTATATGATTCCAAAAACTTTATGTAGTAGTTAGCCCACGGTTGTAGCATATCCTCTCTTATTATTCCAAGCATGGTGACAAAGCTAGGTATAAATTTCATCCATTTAGGACAGGTCCAAGGTGAAGCCAATAATTTCAGTTTGCCGCCGGATAGTTCCATGGCTTGTTGTAAGTAAGGAATCTGCAAATTAAATACACAAATAAAATTAAACGGTCAATTTTGCTCCTACATCTTAGTAAGACTTCTATTTATAAAGTATATTAATATTAATAAACTCAAAATATCAGACAAAAACTATGAAACTATAAAATTAATTCCAAAACTGGTAATATTTCACAAACTTTTGGTTAAAGACTTTCAGCTGCAACGTGACAAACTCCTTTCCTCCTCCTCCTCCTCTATCCTTTATCCTTCGTAAGGATGTGGTGACGTTATGGAATTTGACGAATGGTTGCTATCCATTCTTCTCTCTCGTGGGCGTGGTGTGCTGCCTCAGACAAAGAGTAACACGTGGCTCACTTTTGGTCTGACCACCAACCTCTTGATGCCTTCTATTCGTCTGGTAATGTGTCCAAAGTACCTCAATGTGAGCCTAGTATTCGACAAGAATAAGATACGGACATAACCAGGAACACGAAACGGTGCCTAGTTCGGACGCAGTTTCGTGTTCCTGGTTATGTCCGTATCTTTTCAGATTTTAGTAAGTTTGACCATTGCTGATCTGGCCATTGTAAGACGTCAACGTATCTCTTCTTCGCATCCACCATTGTTTGTGATAACAGAACCTAAGTAATTGAATCGGCTTACCACTTCAAACCCCGCTACGTTTCGTATTTCCGGCTGGTTATTTCTAATTTGATCGATTATCATTACCTTGGTCTTCTGTACATTAATTTTAAGTCCATATTTACGACTAATAGTATCTAGTCTGTTCATGATGTATTCAAGGTCATTTGTTGATTATGCTAGTACTAAAGTGCGTCAGCATAGCTGAGATTGCTGATTTTTCGGCCTCCGACTGATATTCCTCCTTGCCATCCATCGAATACAATGCACATGATGTGTTCGCTATATATATATATATATATATATATATATATATATATATATATATATATATATATATATATATTAAATAACGTGGGAGAGATAACACATCCTTGACGAACACCGGCTTTTAGTTTAAAATTATCGGAGTATATGTTGTTGACTCTTACGTTTGCTGTGTTGTTGATTACAGTTGTTTCAGTAGGTATATTAGATGTTCGGTGACAAACTAAGGTTCTTGAATTCTGGTAACGAATGTCAAAAAATATTCCTTGCCCACCTTGTGATTTAAAGAAATTCCAAACATGCACAGCAAGAATAAGATATTATTACCAATTAATTCCATGCTGTTCACTTTTCTAGTTTGATCGTTTTTGGCCGATATCTCGATTTTTCTGTACATTAGTTTTCTGCTAGGGTAACTTTTGAGGATTCATCAATGTATTAATTAACAGCAATTAATTATCAATTAAATATGCCACCAAGATTAACCCTGTAGTCCTTTTCCTTGCCGAGATATAGCTATGGCTATGCTAGCTTTACCGTAAAGTTACAGCTTTTCTCGGAAACTGCTAGTAAAGTACGTTTCTCGGAAATGTCTACAGCAATCAATTTCTCTTTCCATAATAAATTAGCAATAAATTATAGTCTTGGTATAAATTCGGCCTTATAAAATGGACGTGCTAACTTCATCGATATACAAATTTTTGTTGGTTTGAATTCTCATTGTACAAATGAGCCCTAGCTCTGCCATAACGCGCTTCATTAACTGTATATATAATAAATAATAATAAAAATAAAATAAATAAATATAAAAATAATAATAGTAACAATAAGTGCAATATTTTCATCTGGCGCTGATACAAGTAAACTTAAACTTGAATTATGGTTTTTGGTGATTTCAAAAATATTATTTTTTACTTCATAATGATCTTCATAATGATAGTTCATAATGATCCAAAAAACCTAAAAAAAATTGTCTGGGCCGAAAAAATTGATTGGTACAATATGTGTTAAAATAATAATAAATTTGAACAGCTTTTCACCTGGGCGACTTCTTGAACCTTATTTCGGAGTATCTTATGAAAGTGATGATGCAAAAAACTCTCATGGGAATATTATTTTAAACGAATCCGAACTTTTCGCCTTGTCTATTAGTTATCTGTTCTAATTTTTAACCATTATAATGACTCATACTAACCTTATAGTCAAAATCCTCTTTCTCTAATTTAAATTCTTTTAATTCTGGATCTGGACTATTTGAATCGTCATAAGTGTATAACCGTTCGGAAAAATCGGACGCTCCCATTGGAACTCTTAGCATAGTATATTCAATGCTATCTGGACCAAAATATGATCTAAAAAGACTTTATTTACAATTCTTAATAGATTAAATAAATAAAAATACTTATCAAAGAACCTACACTGATTTTTATCTTAAACTAGAATTTAAATGTTCTATCGCTTCCTGTCATTTGTAACACATTCTATTCATTTTGCATACAATATCTTCAATATTTTTTGGAATATCAAAAGTGTTTACAAAGTATGTAGTAATAAATTGACACCACCATCAAAGATATTAATTGAGGACCATGTTGTTTTCGCACCAACCACTTTATCACTCACCAAATCTTTACCCTAAGACAGATACTAGAATAGAAAAGTGTTGTAGCATAACGTAGACGTATACCAGCTACACATAGATTTCTCAAAATCATCATCACTATTATCATCAAGCTATACGCGTCCATTGCTGGACATGGGTCTCCTTCAGCTCTTTTCATCTGTCTTCGGCTTCCTTCCAGTACTTGCTAGCACGCTTTAAGTCGTCAGTCCATCTGATTTTTGGGCATCTTCTGCTGTGTAGTGCTTCTTGTCTTAGTTTCCACTCGAGAATACGTTTTGCCCATCGGTTGTATGATAATCTGTATACATCTGTATATATAAACGTGATTTGTTCAAAAGCGTCTGTTATTTTTGTTTAGCTATGTATTTCTTTGATTGAGATTTGGTTGCTACGAGAGACACCCAGCATGTGGCGCTCCATAGCCCTTTGAGTCACGCGAATCTTGTTCACTACCTTTTTTGTGAGTTTTAATGTTTCCGCTCCATAAGTGAGTACAGATAACACTGATTAAAGATTTTCCTTTTAATGTATATGGGTAGGCCCAATTTAAATACATAGTTTAATTTACCAAACACTGCCCATGCTAATTGTATGTGACGTGGGAGCTCACATGCCTTGTTATCTCTACCCAACCGAATTGCATGTCCAAAGTACTTATATTATACAGTCTGCTTAATATCGCTTTCATCAACAGCAATATTTGGATTTAGCAGGAGATTAATCATTATTTGCATCCTATTCTTGATAATCTTTACTTCGACCTCCAAGGAAGCATGATAAATTTTTCCAACATTAATATTGCATCATCAATACGATCGGCTATAAGGACGATGTCATCTGCTAATCTCAAATGACTAATCTTCTCGCCATTTATGTTGATACCATACCTTTCTTACAAGTATGTGCAAAAGACGTTGCATTTTGGTAGATATATTTAATTATGTTAGTATAGCGATGGTCCATTCGGCATTATATCAATGCTTTTAACATTTCTGTTTTGTGTTGTTTCTGTTTGTTGTATTCAGCAGGCTTCTTTATTAAAACATCATACAATTGTGTGAATAGAGGATACATGTATAGAACTCTGAGGGAATTTGACATTCCGCAGAAATATATGTACAACTAATCAAAATGACGCTTAAATCAGTAAGCAAGTAGGGTTAAAATGGGAGAACTTTTAGCATATCTAGAAATAATAATCAATTTAAGGGAAAGATATATAGTATCTACTGTATTAACTTGGATCTTAAAGAAATTATGAAGAAAGTTGCCAGGTAACCCAGTTCTGCACAACTCTGCAATGCTATGCCGATCAGGCAGGACTAGAAGTTTCCAGAGAAAAATATAATTGCACGCTATTGATGGAAAGCAAACGATCAAGAAATCATCATAAATTGACACAGATACGCAACAGTGATAAGTTTAAAATTATGGAACGAGTCGGAGATTGACTAGCAAGGACGAAAAAGATAATCTGTGATAAAGACAGAAAATCCGTAAAATAGTTTCGAAACACAATTCAGATTTCTGCTTATAATCTGAGCCTTCTAAAAATTGCAAGGCAAACAGACGTTGATAAAAGATGTTAAAAGGGACATGGGGAATCTAAAATTTGCATTCCACGACATGTCTTTTACAACTAAGCAGAAATCCTTAGCGAATTGTGCTTCTAGTACTCACACAGAGTATATCCGAAATAAAATGAAAAAGACAGCAAATATTTGATTTCACGCAAACAACCCTATGTATCTGTTGATACGTATTTCGACCTAATAGGTCTCATCAGAACAGCTATTCATAGGTGTTCTAACGTGAAAAATCAATATTTTCTGTCTTTTAAAGCAACAATAAATGGCTTCATACGGAAGCGATAGCGACATCTATACAAAATCGTAAAATAGTTTGAACACAATTCAGATTCTGTTAAACTGAGTATTTGTAATTAGATGTCGCTATCGCGTCCGTATTGAAGCCATTTTATTGTTGCTTCTTAAAAGACAGAAAATATTGATTTTTCACGTTGAGAACACCTATGAATAGCTGTTCTGATGAGACCTATTAGGTCGAAATACGTATCAACAGATACATAGGGTTGTTTGCGTGAAATCAAATATTTGCTGTCTTTTTCATTTTATTTCGGATATACTCTGTGTGAGTACTAGAAGCACAATTCGCTAAGGATTTCTGCTTAGTTGTAAAAGACATGTCGTGGAATGCAAATTTTAGATTCCCCATGTCCCTTTTAACATCTTTTATCAACGTCTGTTTGCCTTGCAATTTTTAGAAGGCTCAGATTATAAGCAGAAATCTGAATTGTGTTTCGAAACTATTTTACGGATTTTGTAATTAGATGTCGCTATCGCGTCCGTATTGAAGCCATTTTATTGTTGCTTCTTAAAAGACAGAAAATATTGATTTTGACATGTCGTGGAATGCAAATTTTAGATTCCGCATGTCCCCTTTATAACATCTTTATCAACGTTTGTTTCCCTTGCAATTTTTAGAAGGCTCAGATTATAAGCAGAAATCTGAATTGTGTTTCGAAACTATTTTACGGATTTTGTAATTAGATGTCGCTATCGCGTCCGTATTGAAGCCATTTTATTGTTGCTTCTTAAAAGACAGAAAATATTGATTTTTCACGTTGAGAACACCTATGAATAGCTGTTCTGATGAGACCTATTAGGTCGAAATACGTATCAACAGATACATAGGGGTTGTTTGCGTGAAATCAAATATTTGCTGTCTTTTTCCATCATCAGAAAAATTTATGTTCCAGTTACAGAGGGTGAAATCTGAAGGTTAAGGAGAAACCAGACATTGCAACAGCTGTTTGGAAAATCAGACTTGTGGCTAAGATAAAGAAAGAGTGAGTGAGATAGTCTGGTCACGTATATACTGCGGTGGAGTAAAATAACCATGAAAAAAGTATTTCTGGGTGGTTTAGAGAAAACAACAAGTAGAGAAAGACCTGGAGTACTATGGATAGATGGCGTGCAGGAAGGCCTAAGGAAATTGAAAACCCGACGGTGGAGGCAGCGAGCCAACAACAAAGAAGAATGGACAGATGTCGTCAGGTAAGCCAAGCCTTTAAGGGTTTAGCATTACAGGATAAGTAACATATCGAAAGCTTTCTATCAAAAGATTTTTATTATTATACTCTTATAGTATCATTATCATCATAATTCATCATCATCAAGCCTCAAAAGTTTACTACTGAACATAGACCCTCTTACTCGGTATTTTTCAATCTGCGCCAATCAAGTATTTATTTTTTTTTCTTAACTCGTCAGCTCATAGTCTAGGTGGTCGACCTACGCTTCTCTTATCCTTCCTTTGGTCTTCTATAACCTTTTTATCCATCGCTCATCCGTCATTCTAGCTATGTGTCCTGCCGGTCTTCATTTTAGTCTTGTCTATCCTTTCGATGACATTAGTCATCTTGGTTTTTCTCCTGACCTTTTCATTTTATATTTTGTCTCGCAGAGTTATTCCTAACATAGATCAGTCCATTCTTCTCTGTGCAACTCTTTGAATTTGGTAACCAAGGCCTTTGTTAAAGTACGTTTTTCTGATTATGTCAACATGGGAGGACGCATTGATTAAAAGTTTTTCTCAGTTTTCCATATGCTGCACACCTAAGACAGATTCTTTCTCAGTTCATGATTTGATATCCCTGCCATATAATTCCATCTCCTAGGTATTTATATATTTTTCTACGAGTTTTACTTCTTGTACACAATACTGATGTTCTGGTTGGGTACCAAATGGATACCAAAATAGTACACGTTTTATAAAATATATAAAAGTTTTTCCGAATTGGTTACGAACACCCAACGATAAGGTGAAGTTTATGATTTTTTTAAATACTTTAAAAGCTAGTATGTGCATTTTTTATTTGTACTTCAACCTAACGATCTCAATCGATTGTTATTCAATAGTCAAGGAACTTAAAGTTAGTTAAGAAAGCTATTTTGCCATTTGTATACAAGGATATTATGTCATGATGGTAACTTTGATTTTTGGTGATAGTTATTTTATTTTTATTTTCTTTACCTTTATAATAACTGTGTGATCTACGTACTATAGTTTATTTACACATACTTCGTTGATTTCACCATATTCTTAAGTTCCCTTTGAAAATATTGATCTGAATAACGAAAACAGTATTCAAGATATCTCGTATTTGAAATTTTGTGCAAAATTATAAATATAATTTATATGTTGTTTACATGCTCTGTATCTATGTTTGAAATAAACGCATCGACAAAATAAACCTACTTACTTCATTAAATTTTGTTGTGCTTCCCCACTTAAGCTTTTAATATTAATCCCAGCAGCATCTGTCATGGCTCCACCAAATCCAATAATAGTTTGATATGTCCTACTCCGATCAACAAAAATTGGATTCCAAGCATTACTAGTAATGTTTTTGAACGTACCTTCACTCTTGCTAAAACGCAACCCGGCTTTGTTAGATGTATATATTACGCAATTTGGAGAGTCAACTCTTTCGACGGGTGGTATGAAGTCACAACTGCTTGCACTGCACACGCAGACGGTTCCTCCGTTTCCATAGTCTTTGCTTTGGCATTCTTCTGCTACAATAATATCAAAACCTACAAGAGAAATTAAATATAAATTATTGCCTGTTTTTCAAATAGAAAGACACATAGTCTCTCTCTCTCTCCTCCTCTCTCTCTTCTCTCTCTCTCTCTCTCTCTCTGTCCTCCTAATGGAGAATTGCGCCCATTTTTGCAATTCTTAGCCAATATCGAAACGTAGCGCATTGGATAGATTAGCGCGAAAATATCAAAAACAACAAAAGTATTACAAAAGAAAGCTTTAGAAAGGTATCCTGGAATACACTCGCTATGGGAAGAGGAATTTAAAAAACGTTATCTATTTATTGCTTTCATACTCAACTTTTCGCAAGAGATTAAAGATTGCTTGCTCATTTGCTGCTGCAAGTGTAGTGTCTTAAATTGGAGATATTCCTACCAGCCACTGTTACATTTTTAGATACATTTATAATAACTGGCAAACAAATACAACTGTATTCGCTCAAAAAACAATGATTATTAAAGGAGGATTCCCAATATCGTAAATTTGGCAACTATTTGTCACTTGCCCATGTTTTCCATGTAGTGAGAGTGGTTTATTAGGGTATTACAAGTAAAATTATTTACCACATGCGAAGTTCCGCCGCTTGTCGGTAAAAATGTCACGAGTCAAAGGGATTTCAATTATTTGTGTATTTGCCAAGTTCATACTTGTCGATACGCTCCCACTACTTTCCGACTTGGTCTCAATTAATTTCTGCAGTACTCTGTGTTTGGCTCCCGTAGTGTGAGCGTGGTGTGTGGTTTTAATGTTGTTAGGCATTTACAACATAAAAACAGAAATTAGATTAACTATGCCTGGCTTGCCATCAAAAACAAATATAAAAAAAATATAAATACGGTTGCTCATTTGGAAAAAAAGAGTCATTGATGGCGTCATTCCGGTCATTTGGAGGTGAGTTAAAACATTATCAAAAATTAGAACCAGCAGCGAGGACGTTTATAAACCAACTTGGTCTGCGTTCGAGAAAATAGAAAGCTTTCTGAATGGGGTTTCTGTGTAAAAGAATACATCTAATTCTAATTTAGAAAATAATTTCGTTATTTCTTGAGTCCAGCTTTTCTTGGAAGTTTTTTTGAGCGGTAGGAAAGATGAGATATTTTGCTCATCGCTTCGCCATGTGCCGAGAATAATTGCGCCGCCTTTTTTCGTATCAATAACGTCTAGCGGTGTATAAGTATCAAAATAGTCTCTACTTCTCTACTACGTGTAGCATAGCTGGTCTAAATACTCAGAATACCGACGATAGTATTTCGAATATGTTCTCAACAATGCACAACAGAGCCGATAATTAAAGACTCTTTCATCACTGCCTGCTTCGTACATTTCTTGGAACGATTTTGCTAAATGGGGTCTCAAAGCGAAATCATTATATGCGACGAACACATAAAGGAAAGCAGTTTAAGTATAATTGGGTAAAATTTTATCTTTGGTTAACTTAACGACATTTTCTTTGAATTTCTTGCCCAAAACAGTATTGCGGAATACAACTTATCTATATCAATCTTAAAAATATAACGGCATAGTATCTACTTTACATCGATCAAGACAGATAGAGGTATTAACTTACCTCTCTCGACCTCTATTCAAAGAAGTCATCAATCATATTTTTTTCTTTTGACTTTCTGAGCTTTAATTTCTTTTTGCAGCTACTCAATACCACAAACGCTGCTGCAGCGGCAACGCGAATATCCCTGATGGAAACAAAATAAACACTGAAGGCCAAAATTCGAAGAAATCTCATGTACCCCAGTATTGGCGTACTTGTCAAATACACGAGTAGTGTATTTGACAAGTATTGCAATGTTTGACAATATTATACTGAGTTTAAAACGTGTTGTATTTGGCAAGTACTCAAAAAGTGGCATTCGCCAAGGGAGAAATTAGATACAAGTTGGAAGTGTGGAAATTAGTGAAACATATTATCATCATAATCAATAACATCGTGATATATATGCTGTGGTTGATCATTGATTTTCAGCAGCTCGAACAGTTTGAATAATGTTCTTTCTCCATTGGTCTCGGCAACTGTTATATGTCTCGCCTGAGTACACTGTTTGTTTAGAAGTTTTTTTCTAGTGTCTGCACATCGCTGTGGAGGTCTACTGCGTTGACGCCGACTCTGAGGTCTTCCTTGGATCAAAAACAGCTCCATTTTGTGATTGCTTTCATGAATATGACCAAACAATTTTAAAATTTTAAAGTAAACTGTATTGGAAAGACGTTAATTGGGTTTAATTTCATTTAGAACTGAGACATTCGTGAGGTGAGTCGTTCATGAAATTCGAAGTAGTCATCTCAAAATCTACATTTAAAAGCGTCTACCCGATTCTTTGACAGTCATAGTCTCCCATGTATAGTAAAATATGAAAAAAATCAGAGTGGAAATGAGTTTCTTCTTGTTTGTCATAGCAATGTAACGATCACGCCAGATCCCGTCCAGTTATTGCCAGTCTTGCAAGCTGTATACGTCTTCTAATTTCATATTCGCAACTACCTGTGTTGTTAAAAAGAGCTCCAAGATATATCATAGAGGAGACTACCCACGCATCCGCGATATTTGATGTTTCAAGAAAATGTTATTGGCGGTCATGATTTTGGTTTTGTTGTAGTTGACCATAAGTCCAAACTAGTAATGTCTGCGAAATGCAAGTTAGATATCTTGACACCGCCTAAATTTACTCGTCCCTTCCTCGTCCCCCCTTCGGTTATTCTCTTTATCCATCTGCTGTCGCTAGTTCTTTTTACATGTCCATACCACTTTAGTCTTTTTTGTTCTATATATGTTAGTATGTCTGTTTCTATTGATGATTGTTGCTTTATTTCATCATTACTTCACCTATCCATTCTTGTTACTCTGCAGCATCTTCACAGGCATTCCATCTCTGTTGCTACTATCTTACTACTGTTTTTCTTGTTTATAATCCAATTTTCAGCCCCATATGTCATAATACTTCGCACTAATGTTTTATAAATCTGTGTTTTTATCTTCATATTTAGGTGTCTATCCCACCATACTGAGTTAAGCTGTCGAATTGCTGTTCTTGTTTGTCCTAATCTTTGCGTAATTTTTTCATCTGTTGTTGCATTTTTCGTGATTATAAACCCCAAGTATTTGAATTTATCCTTTCCTTTGATTGTTACGTTGTCATCAATCTGTAGATCTTCTATGTCTTCTTCACTTGTAGATAGGTACTCTGTTTTCGCGAGGTTAATATCTAGGCCAGCCTTGGTATATTCTTCTTGTAGTTTCTTCATCATGTAGCTGAGGTCGTCTTGGTCTTGTGCAATCACTACTTGATCGTCTGCAAAGCTTAACGTATATAGGCATTCGTTCCGTACCGGTACTCCCATGCCTTCGCATTTTCTTTTCCATGTAGTCAAGGCTTTCTCTAAGTATATTTTGAATAGGGTTGGAGATGTGGAACAACCTTGCAGGAGCCTTTTGTTGTGGTGAAGTCTCCTATGATTCTTGTTCCCACTTTAATGGACACTTTATTTTCTTTATACAAAGCTTTTGTAGCTTCTATGAGTTTCGTCTGTATTTCTAATTTGTACATTGCCTCCCATAGTTCTGACCTTGGTACAGAGTCATACGCCTTTCTCAGGTCCATAAATGCCAAATGTATATCTCTCTCGCATAGTATTTAACAATTTTATACCTCTGTAGTTTTTTGGCTATTTTTTATCTCCTTTTTTGAATAGTAGAATTAGTTCGCTCGTTCTCCATTCTTCTGGTATTTTATAATTTTATTAATTAATGTTGGTAATTGTTCTGCCTTTGCTGCCCCACAATATTTCAGTAACTCGTTTGGTACCTTGTCTTTAGCTGCTGCTTTTTTGTTCTTCAGGTTTTAAGTATTTTCCGAACTTCCGAAAAACAAAGCCGGTAACAAAACGTATTATGCTGTTCAATATTTGATTAGTCCACGCTGGCGGAGGAAAGCGATAGATAGGGAAGACTGGAGAGAAATTCTTGAGGAGGTTAGGACCCACGCAGGGTTATAAAGCCAAAATGATGATGATGACGCTTACTTATTATATGTCCTTCACGTAACGATATAAAGAAAAGCTAAATTCTCGACAAGGAAAATTTTCTAATGAATGTATGCTGATATGTATGACTAGAGTAACTGACAAAGATGTACTAAAAATGCCAGCTAAGTCAACCATCTCTATGGAAAACTAACTATTCTGAAAGAGGTGATGAAAGCTATAATCAGACTGCTGTGACATTTAGAGCATTTGGACGAAGACAGATGTATGAAAAAAGAATATAAGCACATACAAGAATAAAGATATATACAAGTTACACTAAAAATAAGTTGACAACATGATGTAAAAATCGTCAAGAAGAAATTTCCGGGAGCTAGACGTAAGAGGATGGTGACGCTAAGCACAAGACCGGGACAACTGGAGAAGACCGGGTTCAGGGAGTTTAAGGAGTAAGAGGCTTCTGATAAATATTATACAAATAAAAATAAATTAACAAAGCATCTTGCGACATCAATAAATAAATATAGCGTAAAACTAACATTATTGAATACATATAAAAGCAAATTATGAATAAATATGTAAAGGTAACAGACACAGAGAGAAGATTTTTTATTTATTTCAGAAACTTTAGAAGATCACAGTAATAATTATAGATACATGTTGGAAGTGCGCGATTGTATTAAGTTAATTATCAAAATACCTTAAAATTTTGTTAAATATTTAATACATACCTGTAATTACCAACCAAATTTTGATGATATATGTAACCATGTCAACCTCTTCTTTTGATGATCATTCGACGATACAAAATGAAATGCATATCTATGTTTATTCAGTAAATGGTAATTACCTTTACAGCATATCATTTTTTTTACTTACAGAGTGTGTACATAGGTTAATTTTTTAAATAAAAAGTGAAATGTATTTCATGAAGAGTATTTTAAATTCTACTAAAAAACACTTATTTTTGAGTTATAGATTGTTATAAAGCTATTTTCTTTCTCTTGCTTCTTTTTTATATTGAACAATAATGCCAATTTTAAATTTATTTACATATGTTATTTGGAACTAATTTAAACCATATTTTGGTCTCCATTATCTGCTTTATGTTTTAGAATAGTTATAAAGGCTAAAGATGAAATATATAATTTCAGCGGAGGAAGATCTATCATATCCATGAAAGATGCCGTCCTTTAGTAGGATGATAAGAAAGGTCATACAAGATTACAAAGCTCTATTTTTACACCAAAGCCCTGAACTATATGTTATTCTAGGTACTATCACTGATAACCAACAGATTAAGTTTGATTTCAGTAACCATATTTTATCTTAAACCGATCCGTAGTTCCAGAAGAGTCGCACAGTTCTCTTAATTATATTGTTAATATGAGTGTTCCAATTGTAACGAAATATTTTGCCTACCACATGGGGTATTAATACAAGGGGTAGAAAATTGGGGACTGAAACTAAGGGGGTGGAGATAAGGCAAGTAAAATAATCGCTACTTGTGCGAACGGCACTCAGGGTTTGTTAGGAGAGCTGGAGTCGTGGATAAGTAAATGGCAAAGGGGTTTGGATTGGGACAACTACAAAAAATGAAGTAAAGGGGTCATTAATCACTTAGAACTAACAAAATAAAAAAAAAAACAGGAAACACATCTAGTAATTTAATATAAGGCGTCACTTTGAGGTGTCTAATTATAACTATTACAAGAACTAGTTGTAATAGGAAAATAATTATCTAAAATATAAATATCTGGGCGACATTTTTGTAACGATAACTTGGGATACTATTCGAAAAGGAAAAAAAGGATTGATTTAAAAAAATAGACAAAATGTTAAGAAACAAAATTTAACATTTATTTTTATGTCATACCACAAACAGTTACACAAATATAGACAGCACAAAAAATGCTATATTAGTTACAGAGATTCTTACCAAAATAATAAAGAAAACTTACATGTGTTCTACTGATTTACAAACTCAGGAGATGCTACAAAAACTTACGAATGTTACTGGAATCGTTAACTGGAATCATGCTGGAACTATACTGGGGGCAGATCCGGGATGACGATCAGGGATAGGAAGATGAGGACGGAAGCTAGCACCGGCTGGATCGGGCGGCTTAAATCAAAGAATATCGAGCAACATACACAGCTGCGAAATAGATAAACAACTTTAAAATGGTTTATATTACTTGGCGACGCTAAAAAACGAAGTAGTATTTGGGTTTTAATACGTACGAATAGGAAACTGAAATGCATTATTAATACTCCTCGATTTTTCAAACATATATAAGGGGATTTCAATATATTACATATACGAGGGGATTTCAATATACACCAAAAAAATCAATGAATTGCAAATGCTACACAATTGAGTTTGAAATCCAAGGTTATCCCTATATACTTGACTTCATTGGATCTTTCTAGTTGTTCTCAAATAGTTTCAGCTCATTCTGCCCAGTAATCTTTCTTTTATTAGTAAAGGCTACTAGTTTAGTTTTCGAAGAGTTCATAGAGAGATTCTCTGTCAGACACTATTTTTGTACGCAATGAAGGACATATCGTTGCTGATCCGTTACAGTACTTAAACGACTTTTTAGGATAATTTCGTACCCTTGTTTTAAGATCCCTCTTAGCGGATTTTAATCGGTTACTTAGGGTCTTTATAAAACCTCTGTTCCGGTTTGACTGAGTTGATCTTAAAGCAATATATGCAAGATAGGCTTAGGTAAATCAGTCAATACCTTTGTTCAGTAAAACAAGTTTAGTAATGCAAATGTAATTAAAAAGTAGCTTACTTCTGTTGTTTGTATTTCCGCTACATCAGAAGATGTGATGGGCGTTAAAGCTCTGTGCGCTTATTTTTTGTATATTCTAGAAGGTTCTTTAAGTTAGTATCTGAATGTTTCTCTTTGGAATTAATATTGTGCTACATAAATTGATCTATAAGATCTTGAATTTGCTTTTTTTCATTTTTACATGCTCTTTTGTAATTTCTTCCACATACATAGATTTTCTTTCGGTCTATTGCGATTTGTCTGTAGTGGTCGCTTGCTTTTATTACTCGATGGTTTCATCTATTTAGTTTTGCACTCTTAATATGAGATAATGCTAGCTTACTTGAAAGGGTAATAAGCGCTGGTTGAGACAGGGCGTATTAACTTTGGTCTCCGGCCACACTTACCCCGTTAGCAGTCCTTAGCTTATCCTGTCGACTTCGCCTTATAAAAATTGGCGGCCCAAGCCAAGCAAGAGCATGACTGCCTCTCCGTTTAGTAGCCTTTCATGATCATCAGAAGGAGAACTGAGGAGATATTTTTATTGAGTCGCCCGTTAGAATATAGAGTTAATGGTCCTAGTGCGATAATAATTTTTATTATATATAACTGCCAGAAATAAAATACTTAAAAAATATGGTCTGATTTAGCAGTATTTGCAATGTTGACTGTCAGCTATTTCTTCATCTTTAAGCGGGTCTGCCTTGTGGTACTTTATCTTCTTGTTTTCTATTTCCTATTATTCGGGCAAGTCTTTCTCTTTTCATTCTGTTAATGTGTTAGTTCGATCCTCGTCTTCTTTGGCGTTTACATCTGACGATATTATGTACTTTAAACCAACAACATTCCATTGAAGGACCTAGCAGCTAGGACACACAAGTAGCCATCGAACAAAGCAATAAGTATTGCATTAATTGTTAAGCTTTGGCAGGGTCTATTATTGTGCTTTTTTTTTAAATAAATATGTTTGGTTAAAATTTGTTTTATTTGCTATCAACTGAGAACTCAGGTTCAATCCCTATTTTAAGACAAGACGAACTCACCCTTGAGATACTGAGCTAGGCAAGGTATAGACGATAAGCTCCCATGATTGATTGAAGTATTATTTTCACAATATTACTTCAATTCTCTTTGGTAGTTTTATCGTTACACATTGGCTATGGCTGATAACTACCAAGCTACTCGATCCACTCTATAGTCATTCCAGTCAGTTTTTCCAATAGACCAAAACATGAAATAATAAAAATAGCCCAACAGAAGAATTTAACAACTGTTCGCATACAGATACCATATATATGATAAATACATTTATAGAAATAATGTTGAAAAATTCATAGAAAAAAATAAACCAATAAAAGGAGGTGCTCTAACAGAGGACACCAGTAGAATCGTACGATTAACAAATTATTGTTTTATTTCTTTCAACAAACGGATTGATAATCAGAAGACAACATTGTACTTTAAGGAGGAAATACAGAGGTAGACGACCAATAGACATGACGACACGACCCAATCTTTTATAGGTCAAAAAAATGAAAACGGTAGCTTTCGTTTTTTAAAAATAAGACAATAAACCAAAAGGCCTTCGAACTACCTCACAAACTGTAAAAGATAAAATCTCGGAACAATGACCATAATTCACTATTCAACATATTCCAACATAGCATATTTATGTATGTAGAGCATGTGGAGGTGGTGAAGAACATTGAAGAGGTCGGACCCTCTAAATATCTATGTCTTGGTATGAGTGAGTGTGTCAAAATAATATTAGCCCATAGAAGCGAAGGAGGCTACATCCGCTCTCACACGTCCTTTGAATCGGACTGCCGCCGATATACAGGGTGTTTCAAACTGTAAACAATATAAATTGATTTAATCCAACTTACCTTAGTACAAAAGTGTACACAAAAAAAGTTGCAGCCCTTTGAAGTTACAAAATAAAAATTGTTTTTTTGCATTATCTCCTAAACTACTTGATATTTTGTAATAAAAATGGACACGTTACTTTCTTGTTCTGAAAGCATTTTTCATAAAAAAGAAACAACAAAATCTAAGCGCACAGAAAAATTTTAAGGGGGTGTGCAGCCTAAATCCCCCAAACTTTTGAGTACGTTCAAATCAAATGAATTTTGTGGCATCATTAGTTTAACACATTATTTTTAAAATTTTTTGCCTCTTATCACTTTTTTCAAAAAACAGTTTTATTTACGACCTTTCATTAACCTTTAAAATACGTGCAAAAAATAATGTCTAATTAAACCTCTATAAATATGATATTACAATAAATGTTAAAAATGACCCCCATTTTCTTCAATACACATTCAGTATCGTTTTAATAAGGAAAACCGAATGCGCTGAAAAATCATATTTTTCTGACGAAATTGATTTTCAGCTTCAATTATTCTAACCCTCAATTGTTGTTCGTCCTCTATTGTTACAGAATACACTTTCTATTTATAAACCCCCAAAAGCAAAAGTCCATGGGGTTAAGACCTGGACTTCTGGGTGGCCAAGAAATAGGTGCGTCACGACCCCTTCCAATTCTCCGACCAGAATACTGTCTGCAAAGGTATTCCCGGACTTCATTACTGTTGTCATCGAATGCGATAGTCCCAAGACTAATACGCACTTCGATGCGCATCGCCCCGCCTTGAATTTTCCCATTGGTCCCTGACCAAGAAATCCCTATTTATCGCTACAACAGCGTATATAAATATTGGCGATTTTCAGGTCAACCAAGTCAGTCCCTCTCGGGCTCTCCGAGAGCTTAGTGCTCTCGGGGCGCTGCTTTTCTTGTTTTTAGCTTTCCTATATCCCACGAACCAGCTCGAATTCACAGAAGGACTACACACCATTGACTTCAACATGGGTTGAAGTTAAGAAAAGAATGGGCTAGTAGGCTAACACTCCGACATCGAGGCCTTTTGCAGACCGGATGCCTTCGACGTGCAGACACCCTTGACGAGCCAGCCTTATTCAAAGTTAGAAGCCCTAGATGCCGACGGAA